TAGATATTTACACACCATCACTTGTTCTATTATCTGACCTTCCAGCTCCAATTTACATCTTAGTAAATTTGCTGTTGTAACCATGCATTTTGTCTTATTTGGGGAAATTAACATGTTAAATTATCTGGCGGTTATATTAAATTAGTGCAGCATACTATTATTTCTAGATCTCCTGGCAAGAACACATTATTAGAACAGATTATTTCAGACAATCTATTATTTCTAGATCTCCTGGCAAGAACACATCACGAATATAAGATATGCCTCCAACCAACAATTTAAATGGACCTTCTCAGGACCAAGCGACAAAAGGACTCGGACCAAGCATCCGAATCTGCCATTTAAATATAGAGGTATTAGTAGAAGTAAATGTGAGTACCTTCAAAAGGTACTCATTAAAAATGATATTGACGTGGTCGCAATTCAGGAAACCCATGCAGAAAATGAACAACAAATTCTCGCTAGAGGAAGAATTCATGGCTATGATTTATTGGGTGCAACTTACCATCCAGCTTATGGAGTGGCAACCTATGTTCGAAACAAAATAGAAAATGCATACATACGTTCTACATCAGACATAAATAACATTCATACGGTTACTATACAAATTGGCGAAATTACTGTCAGCAATATTTATAAACCCCCGGCAGTCCTGTGGCCTTCGCATGTTATTTACGCCCACCCACACCCCTCAGTTTATGTGGGAGACTTCAACAGTCATCATGAACTCTGGAAGTATAGGCACAATGATCAAAACGGCGAGGCTCTAATAAACTGGAGCGAAGAGGTTGACACTTATTTAGTCTTTGATGCTAAAGATCGGGCAACTTTTCGATCTGCAGCCTCTAAGCGAGAATACAATCCAGACCTATGTTTTGTTTCCACAAATGAAAACAATCAACCACTGGCAGCTTCACGTACAGTATTGCCAGATTTTCCACATAGCCAACATAGACCAGTTGTAATAGAAATTGGCATCAAAATACCAATAATATCATCTTTTCCCCGACCTAGGTGGAACTTTCAAAAAGCAGACTGGGCGACTTTTACTGAAAGATTGGACAAATGTTTGGGATGGATACCCCCAACACGTTCAAACTACATGAGATTTGTTGGCGCGGTTATCTCCACAGCGAAGAAAACTATACCCAGAGGATATCGTAAAGAGTATGTCCCAGGATGGGATGAAAATTGCGAGAAATTGTATCAAGAATACAACGAAAGCCAAGATCGAGAAATTGCGGACGAATTACTGCACAGTTTAGATGCAGCCAGACGACAAAAATGGATGGAAACCGTGGAAAAATTAGACTTTAGTAAATCAAGCAGAAAAGCATGGTCTTTACTTAGAAAACTTGGTAGTAGTAGAGTCCCAACTAGAGAAAAAGTACCAATAGCTCTAAACAGAGTGGCCTCCCACATTGTAGCAACCTCAAGAGCACCTAGAGATCGTGATCACACCACCAAAGTCAAACAAGAACTTAAAGTACTAAAGTCTGCATGCCCGCCTACTTCTGAATATTCTAACGAGTTTACTCCAGAAGAAATTATTTCAGCCATATCAGAAATTAAGTCTGGAAAGGCACCCGGCTCCGATAAAATTCATCCAGAATTTTTACTCCACTGTGGCAAATATGCTAGGAAATGGCTGGCTGATTTCTATACAGATATGTTAAAATCAGGAGAAATCCCCATTCATTAAAAAAGGCCTCCATTATAGCCATATTAAAACCAGGAAAGGCAAATAATCAGCCTCAAAACTACCGTCCGATTGCTTTGCTGAGCTGTGTTTATAAACTGTTGGAACGCTTAATCTACAACAGAATTAGTAGAAAAGTATTTGAATTGATACCTATTGAGCAAGCAGGATTCAGACCTAACCGCAGCTGCACAGATCAGATCCTATCCTTAACAACACATATTGAAGCTGGTTTTCAAAGAAAACAAAAAACATCCGTTGCTTTCATTGACCTATCAGCTGCATACGATACTGTCTGGAGACAAGGACTAATCTGCAAGCTAATCCGTGCCGTCCCGTGTCAAAAGGTAACTAAACTCATTGATAACATGCTCACCGACAGACCTTTTCAAGTCACAATAGACAATTCTAAAAGTTCCCAAATGAAGCTCAGCAATGGACTGCCACAGGGATCTGTTTTGGCACCCTTACTGTTCAATTTATATATCGCGGACCTACCTAGGACAACTTCGCAGAAATTTGGCTACGCTGACGATTGGGCAATTGCAGCAAGACATAATAACATGAATATCACAGAAACAATATTAGCGGATGACCTTGCCATTATGGGAGAATACTTTCGCAAATGGAGGCTACGGCCTAATGCAACGAAAACCGAAGTGTGCTGTTTCCATCTGAATAATGCCCAAGCCAACAAAAAACTCTCCATCCACTTCGAAAACAGACTGCTCACTCATAACTCAACACCAAAATATCTTGGAGTGACTCTGGACAGAACATTGAGTTTTAAAGAACATCTTCAAAGAACGACAGCAAAGTTGAAAACGAGAAATAATATAGTCCAAAAGCTATGTGGCACTACATGGGGGTCTTCAGCCTCCGTACTCAGATCATCCGCTCTCGGACTTGTATACTCGGTGGCTGAATATGCTTCCCCGGTATGGCTCAATAGCAAACACACAAAGATTATTGACACTCAATTAAACCAGACAATGCGAATGATCTCAGGTACAATTAGACCCACACCGAACTATTGGCTTCCCATTCTAAGTCACATTGCACCGCCGAAACTGCGAAGAAGTCATTTTCTTCTCAGAGAATATCGAAAAATTGAGGCTAACCATCAACTACCTATACACCAAGATAAGCTTGATATCGAAATAAACATACTGCGCTCCAGATATCCTCCATTGCTAAGAGCCAACTCCTTACATCAGGAACATTTCAACCTGACCAAAGCTTGGAGAACACAATGGGAGAGCGACTCACCACAGGAAGCACATCAAATGGCCTGTATCGATCAGAAACCGCCAGGCTTTGAACTGACCCGCAATACATGGACAACGCTAAACAGAATAAGAACAAGCAGCGGTAGATGTGCTGACAGCTTATATAGATGGGGAAAAGCCCTTACTCCTGAGTGTGACTGTGGTGCGCAACGACAGACCGTCCGTCACATTGTTGAAGAATGTCCCCGAAGGCGATTCCCTGGAGTTTTCGATGAGTTCCTGAATGCGACCGAAAATGTTTTACATTATATTAATAATACATTAGATGTTCGTTTGTAATACTTTATGTAACGTTTTTATATTGATTTTTTTAATTGTGCGTTCTTATTATATGCCATACGATAAATAAATAGTGCAGCATACGTTGTAAATCATCTTCACTTTAAGAGAGTAGTATTGCATCGTCTGCATAGCAGATTCTCTTAAGTTGTTTTTCTTCCATTTGGTGTCCTTTTTTAGTTCTTTTTTTTTATTATTTCATCGATAATCAGGTTCATAATGCGTGCTTCATTGACTACCATAAAGCGTTCGATACAGTAAAGCACGACAAGCTGATGGAGATATTAACCAATATTGGAATAAATACCTGTTGATTCAAGAATTGTCAGCAATCTGTACTGGAATCAAACATCATCTATCCGGACAGAGGCAGGAGAATCCGACGATATCAAAATCAAACGTGGCGTCCCTCAGGGATGTATACTAATACCACTGTTGTTTAACATATACTCTGAGGAAATCTTTCAAGAAGCAGTGGGTGATGTTGAAGCCGGAATTCGAATCAACAGAGAATCTATCAATAACATTAGATATGCGGACGACACAGTAGTATTCGGTGACAGTTCTGAAACCCTCCAGGAGTTAATGAACAGAATCACAGGGTCAGTCAGAGATACGGACTTTCACTAAACACTAAGAAAACAAAATGCATGATGATTTCTAAGAAGGAACAGCAATTTGGACAAATCAGTGTATTATAAACGGTCAACAAATAGAAAGAGTAAAAACATACACCTACCTTGGTACGAAGTCAATGAAAATTGGGACCATTCCATAGAAATCAAATGTAGAATAGAGAAAGCAAGATCTGCATTTCAAAAAATGGCTAAGTTATTCAAATGTCATGATTTATCAATGCCCATAAAAATCGGGTTACTACGATGTTACATCTTTCCTATACTGTTTTACGGAGTTGAGTCATGGACTCTCACAGACGCCACCTGCAAGAAAATTGAGGCTTTTGAAATGTGGCTTTATTGTCGCATCTGAAGATATCGTATACCGAACACGTTACTAATGAGGGTGTTCTGTTAAGAATGAAAAAAGAAAAAGAGCTGTAACCACAATAAAAATAGCCAAAATCGAATACCTCGAATAAATTAAAATTAAGGACATTTAAAAAAAATCTAACCAATTAAATCTTAGAACAAACCAATTGTGCGCTAAACAAAATCCGAATCTATCAACTAAAGCAAGTCTCATTGCCTTCATTTAGCCTGATTTGGCTCTACTAGACTACAGAGTTGAACAATTTTTTCTTGTAATTCTACTAAACTGGTGGCTAGTTAATAATTTCGATTTTAGCATTCCTCAGAAATAAAAATCCAAAGGTGCTAAATCTGGTGATCTAGGGGGACATTTTTACTGTTCCCCGTGTAGAATTTAATCGTCCAGGAAATGTTTATTCCAAATAATTTGTAACTTCGATTGCATTATGTGCTGCGCAACCATCCTGTTTTAAACCAGACATCGTCGAAGTTCACCGAATGCTGAAATAATCTCATTGTGCATTTCAGTATTTCCGATAATAAAAAATGGACCAATTATTATTATCGTTAAAAGTCCACTCCAGAATTCCACAAATTAATTTGGCATTTTCACAGCAATACTCAAATTGCTCAAATGTTTATTATCCCTAGACTCAATAGCGATAGCGGACAACAGAATGGATTATGGCGTTTATGGATTGTGAGTGAAGATTGTTCTCATTCGATTAAGAAGAAGAATTCTAAAAATTGAGATAAACCATATAACCTTAAAATTTCCATAAAATTTTTTAAAATTATAATTTATCAATGGAAGAGTTGGAACCGTCTGAATTAGGAAACCAAGATTATTGGGAAAATCGGTATGCTCAAGAAATTAAAAATTTTTCTAGTCATGGTGATCCAGGCGAAGTTTGGTTTGGGAGGATACTGTAGATAGGGTCATTAGATGGATGGATAAAAGTGATCTAATTGAGAAAGATAGCAAATTAGTTGATTTGGGTTGTGGCAATGGAATGCTTTTGGTTGAATTAGCGAATGAAGGATATAAGAATCTAACAGGAGTTGACTATTCTAAAAATGCTGTTGAACTGTCACAACAAATTGCAAATAAACAAAATTTAAACATAAAGTATCTTACTTGTGACATTTTAGAAGGTTTACCAGAAAACTACTACGTTATTCACGATAAGGGAACTTATGATGCTATTAGTTTAAGTGAAAATCCCAAAGAAAATAGGTTAAAATACATTGAAAATGTACACCGAAGTCTAATGGATGGAGGAGTTTTTATTATTACATCTTGTAATTGGACACAAAGTGAATTAGATGAACAATTTAGTGAAAAGTTTAGTAGATTTGCGATTATTCCCACTCCTCAATTTCAATTTGGAGGTAAAGTTGGAAATGTTGTAACTTCCTGTGTATTTAAAAAGAAATAGGTATATTATAATGCTACATTTTACTATGCCTTTTAATTTGTAATGAAAATAAGACACAGAAAATTATTATATATTTGCATATTTTATAATAAATAATTTTTTTATTTTACTTCTATATTATTCAACATATGAGAGCACTTCCTACACAGTCAACATCTTCATGTGCCTATTAACATATTTATGCCAATAATCAGATCCCACCCATGACAGCTGAAATTTTAGCTATCAAGTTATAAGTTTTTTACCATAGGTGTTTATATTTTGTATAGGTGCCCAGACTGTAAGTGAGCTCTCCCTAATTTAGTCATTATAGTTTTTTTTATCATCAAGTACTTTTGACTTCATAATTCATTTTATTTTTATAAAAATAATATAAATGGCACTTGATAACTTTTTGTTACTTTCTTTTGACTAATATTTTAAAATGTTATTGTAGGCAATAAGTTAAAGGGTATGAGTAAAAACTAAAAATTCATGAAAAATAAATTAAAAAAAATGTTTAACTTATATTTTATTTGTAAGTTCAGTGGTATTGTAGATAGTCAATTATCTAAACTAATTGGACATGGGTGTTGCGAAAATTGTGCACCAACTCACAAATATATGTGGATTATATTATGAAAAGCACTATAGTGATCTTAACTTTCAAAATACAAAACGATATCGGAATTCCATGTTAACAGATAAGTAGGAAATTATAAATATCATGATGACATAGTTATCTTATTTACCCTCAATTCAGAAATATCAAACGGCAAAATGAAAAATTTATAACCTCGACGAGACTTTAGTTAATGTTGGACATACAGTCACCAAAATTTGGCAAGATAAAACAGTAAGAAATGTACAACAAGCTTTTCTTGAAGATTTATTGACAAGTTTGCAAGCGCCGTCAGTAAAGGGCCAGTGTAACTGTCGCTCATATTGACAGTGATACTGATTTTCTGCAAAATGGTGATCTAGTTTTATATCAAACAAAACTGGGAACTGTTATGAAGTCATGAAGTCCATATGATTCGAGAACATTCTCCAGTGTGCAGATAGTCACTCTGTCATAGTATTGGATAATGCATCTTATCACAGTCACCTCATTAAAGACATTCTAACAATGACTGATAGAAAATACATCATACACAGCTGACTACGAGAAAAATGTATGTCATTTATAGAAGATATAGTCAAAGCAGAACTAATAGCAATAATCAAGGAGCATCGTGATAGATATCGTCAATATGCTGTTGATTTAATGGCTAGACTTCATGGTATTACTGTTTTTATACTTCCACCTTACCATTGCGAGTTGAATCCAATTTAATTAATTTGGTCTCAAATGAAGGGATATGTTGCCCGAAAGAATGTAACATTTAAAATTGGCGATGTTCAGCGCCTATTACAGACCAGTATAGATTGCATACATCCTACAAATTGAAAGGACGCTATTAGACCATGTATTGAAAATAGAAGATAAAATGTGGAAGCTGGATGGGATAATCGAAAATGTTATTAAACCTGTAATAGTAAGGATTGGTGCCAACAAGTCAGAAGACTCAATAAATTATCAGGATGCTGATGATTTATAAACCAAGCTTAGAGAAAAAAGTTTAATGTTTAAGTTATATATTTTTATTGTTGTAATATATCTTTTATCCAAGACGATTAAGAATGGATTTACTTTGTGGCTAAATATGCTAGGTAGGATAACGATAATTTTAAATCGCAAAATACAAATTTATTTTTATCATAGAATGATCTATTCAACTATTTATTAATCTATTATTATTTATTAATACATAACTACTATCAACTATTTATTAATACATAAAAGGCTTATTTACGACTAGAATAAAATCGTGGGTCAGATAGCCAAGACTCACTGTGAATTGATTGTTCAAATCCTGACCAGAAAACAAAAAGAGTAACAGTAAAGCTAAAGCTACTTGGCCTAGAAGACCTTAGTGTGTCGGATATACCTATTAATAAGCTGTACTACAAAAGATAGGGGTTTGCAGCTTAGTGTTACTCACTCCACATATCATCCAAGTGTTTAAGCTTAAAAAACCAGAATATAAATAAAAACGTTTTACTAACAATCGTAATATTTGGTATTTGACAATCAATTATTATCTAAACAAATTATTTAAAAAAAACGTCTACCTATTTTCATTCTATAAAATAAATACTGAAATAAATTCAAATTTCAATATAAGAATTAAAAAAAAACCTTTATGAAACGCTACTAATAATAGTAAATAATTATGAATTCGCATAAATTGTGCTGACCAAATATTAATTTTCTAAAAGGTCTCGTGAATTCGTCTGTTGTTACAGCTGGCTCCTGAAAAAGACGGCATATTACCCATTAAAATGTACAGAGAACTATCAAAATGTTGTGAAGTGATATTATTTTAATTTTCTTATTAGTAAACGGCGTATTTGATTTACATCTCGTACATAAACTCCAGAAAGCGCAGTTGCCACTCTTAGCTCAATGTACAGTTGCGGTCACGGAATAGTTTACAGGTTCACGTATCTAGGAGCCCATTTTTTAAATTTTTACTTCGTTTAAACGCACCTTTTACGTCAAAGTGACGTTGCCAGTGGTGTACTAGCTAGAATAGGTAGATTAAAATTAAAATATCAAAATATTTTACAAAATGAAAAATATAGAAAACAGTTTTTTGAATAAAATGGATTATGATCTTAATAACGAAAATAAAGAAGTCCTTTTAATTTGATATAAAATTTTGGAAGAGTTTAATATACTTTTATTTTATTGTTGAACACTCGCGAAAGCATTGACGTTTTGAAATTTTTTGACTTTGACATTTATCAAATCCGTACGACACTGCAATTTTAACAGTATTACAATATAAAAAGTAAGGTGTAAACTATTCCGTGACCGCAACTGTACATTACCTATGCCCAGCTGAAAAATTTACATATATAATATATATAATATATATATATAATATATATAAATATATAAATATATAAATATATATATATATATTATATATATATATATATAATATATATATATATATATATATATATACAGGGTGAGTCACGCTCAACGGGACGGAGCCTACCGGGGAAACGGCTAAAGATATTAAAAAATTTCTTTTGCAGGAATACGTAGGTTAGTACCGGCTACAAAATAAAATTTTGTGAGATATATACAGGGTGTCCCAATTTGGCGTAATAATATAAACTTATACTTTTTTAAATGGAACAACATATATTTCACTTTAATTTTGAATTCTACTAAACAAAATAATGTTACTTTATTCAACATTCCCTATACCTATTTTTGACCGGTTTCGATTTATTTGGGTTTTTCTGCAAATGTACTATTCGCGAAATTAATTAATTACACAATATCGCATGAATTTTAATTAACGCCTTTTTGTCAGTTAATTGTCAAGTGTCCATGCTTTACATCAGAATAATTACCATTTGAAACTAATCTACAGAGTGTTCGCAACCGGAAGTGTCAATGCTGTACCATATTTTGTATAATTACTTTCTTAACTTAAATGGGACACCCTGTATTTTACTTAATTTTGAATTCTAATTAAAAAAATAATATTACTTTATTAAATAATCCCTATACCTATCTTTGAGAATTTTCCATTTATTTGCGTTTTTTTGAAAATGCACTATGTATTCTTGAAATTAATTAATTTTTATTCACTTTATTACATAAAGTTCTACTCTAACTTAAACAAAAACCCTGTATTTGAATGTTGTAACAATTATTATAATCAAACTATTATAAAATTTTATATTAATATCTAGTATCTTCAAATCTATTTGCATTATGTTACCTGGAACATTAAATGTCATTAATTACATAGCTCGTTAGTATAAAGAATGCCATGAAAAAACAAAAGGTACCTAGCTGTCAAACTAATTGTCAAACTATTAACTGTATTGCTTTCAATTAAATAGAAATGGCAGATTATTCAATTGAAGACCGAATAAATATGATTTTAATACTGGGTGAATGTGATCAAAACAGTTTTGTTAGCATCAAGAGTCTATGCTGAGAGATTTCCCTTAAAACATCATCCTCGTAAAGAAGTATTTGACAGAGTCTTAACAAGGTTTCGTAAAACTGGCAGTGTTTGTTTATACTAAACGAAAATTAATAAATCCGATAACTGAAGATGAAAATACCGAATTAGAAGTTATTCAATCAATTATTGAAAATCCAAATACAAGTACAAGGACGATGGCCAGGGAGATTGAAGTAAGCCAAACTAGTATATGCAGAATTTTTTAAAAATATCAATATCACCCATACCATATTCAAATGCATCAGCATTGTATGGAACTGATTTTGAACGTAGGTTAGAATTTTGTTTATGGTTTTCTAGACAAAACGGAGCAGATCAACATTTTTTTGATAAAATTTTGTTCACTGATGAATCTACTTTCCATAATAATGGACTCGTGAACCGACATAACTTTCACTATTATAATACGGAAAGTCAACATGAATATAGATGTACTGATCGACAAAACCGATGGTACCTTAATGTATATGGTGGAATAATAGGAGAACATGTGATAGGACCGTATTTTTTTAATGGCCATTTAAATGGACAAAAGTTTTTAAGATTTCTACGAAGAGACTTTTTTTGCAAAATATCCCTTTAAATATTAGAAGAACAATGTTTCTGCAGCTAGACGGTGCTCCAGCACATTACACGCGTAACGTTAGAGAATATTTAGACAGAAAATTTCCCGGAAAGTGGATAGGTAGGGGTGGTGCTGTCAATTGGCCCCCTAGATCACCTGGGTTAACATCAATGGACTTTTTTTTTGGGGATATATTAAAAGTTTGGTTTATCAAACTCCACCTACAACCGCTGAAGACATGAAAACGCGTATTCGTAATGCGTTTGCAACAGTTACTCCAGAAATGCTAAGAAGAGTAAAACAAAATTTTGAACACAGAGTGAGGTTAGGTATTGAAGAAAATGGACACCATTTTAAAACATTTAATGTAAATTAATTTTTTTCTAGTGTGTTTTGTGTAACTT